GAGAGGGAGCAAGTCACCTTGGCGCTCGGGGCCGGAGCCGACAAAGACGGGACCCTGCTGCTGGAGGGCGGCGGCCGCGACGAGGGGCTGCGCAGGACCCCTCAGGGCCTCGGGCTGCTGGCCAAGACCCCCCTGAGCCGCCCGGTCAAGAGGAACAACGCCAAGTGCCGGCGCGTCCAAACTTTGATCTACGACGCCCTCGAGAGACCGCGGGGCTGGGCGCTGCTCTACCACGCGCTCGTGTGAGTCCCTGGCGTTCGCGGCGCCCCTCGGCGGCGGCGCGGGGTGCGGTTCCGGGCGGGGGCTGGAGCGGAGGACGGCTCTGGGGCTTTGCAGTTGAATTGGGGACCAGCCCGCCCTCGGCGTGTGTGTCTCTGCTGGGGAGGTGTGTGTGTGTGTGTGCGTGTGTGCGCGCGCGTGTGCGTGTGGGCCACTCTCTGGTGTTGGACCCGAACGCTTTAAAGGTCCACGCGTGGCTCCACGGCTTATTTGGAGGCCGGATTGGCATTTATGTGCCCGCGCGGGCGCGCATGTATGTCACCTTCTCCGGATGTTAGTACTGAAGCTTAACAGAAGCTTATGTGGTTTTTCCGATTAACGTAGAGGTTGAACTGGATAAAGCGGATGCTCCCTGGCGCGCTGCGTTTCTGTTTGGGGTGGGTCCCTTCCCTTGGGATCGCTACCGAGTTTAGATGACACGTCCTGGAGTTGGGGAGGGGAGTTGCCCACAGTGTGTGTGTGTGTGTGTGTGTGTGTGTGTAGGTAGTGCGTGTGTGTGCGTGCGCGCGGGTATCGGTTGCTTGCTTGTGCTACCCTTTTTAGGGCTCCATCCTGGCATAGAAAAGATCCTGGTGTTGCTCTAACTGGGCGCTGGGGCTGGTCAGAATGCAAGTCTTTGGGTTCCTTTTAGGGACGCTAATGAGACAGGAACAGAGAGTGTGTATTTCAGGCTCTAAGCCTAGACGGAGAGGCTGGGGCTTAACTGCCAGGAGGTGAGGGCCCCAGTGACTTGTTTTAGCTGAAACGTCTCCATGATTTGGTCCTCATGTGCCCTCAGCCTCCACTGCTGCCCCTTCTCTTGCTTTGGCTGGGCAGGGGCGTGGGGGATGCAAAGGGGCCTGGGCCGGAGGTTTGCCCCCAGGCACCCTTACCCTAGCGTCTCCTTGCTAGTCAGGGTGTAAATGCACGGCCAGGGAAGATGCAGCTCCCTTTCTGCACCTGACCCTCTGGATCCGAAATCCTCCTGTATTTGGGGAGAGGTGGAGAGTGGTGATGTTGGCCCCTCACTCAGGGAAATCAGAGAGAACTGTCAGCACACACTCAGCGGTGTCAAGGCACTTCCAGTGACTCGGTGCCTCCTGTCTGTGGCTTAGTCATCCTGATGGCTGCTTCTCCCGAGGCTGTACCTTACTGGGGTTTGGACAGAGAATTGGCCATGACGTTGACCCTTCTTGTGCCTTCAGCAGTGGATGTTCCTCTCTGTCCTCTTCCAATTGACCCATGGCTTGTGGGGTCTGAGGGATTTCAGGGAGCCTTGGAGTTAATAACACCACCTGCCAATCTTTCTTGGTTGGAAAGCTTTTCCAGATTTGACCACCAGGGGGGGCGTGTGCACAGAATCTCTGAGTTGGCAACAGGTTTCTTCAGAGAGGTTCCTGAAGCCTGGAGAGGGTGCCTCCCCAGAAACAGAGGAACCAGCAGGATGGAGGGGGCATCCAGCCAGGAGCATGGCTTGTGGGTAGTGGAGCTTTTGGCGCCTGCATTAATTTGCAGGTGTTAGTGGCTAGAGAGAAGGGTTAGCAGTTGTTACTCTTCCATTTGCTTTTTTCAGGTGGTAAAAGGGATTAAAAAGTCAATGGCCATGCTACCCTCAACAAGCCCGATCCCATTTGATCTCCTGTTTTGGGGGAGCTAAGCAGGGTCGGGCCTGGTTAGCACTTGGATGGGAGACCATCTAGGAAGACCAGATGCTGTAGGTGTAAAAATATATAAATAAATAAATAAATAAGGGATTGGAAACTGACAAGGTCCTTGCAATCTGTGAGGTCAACCAAGAGTTGCCTCGCCTAAAGATAGATAGATAGATAAATAAATAAATAAATAAATAAGAAAGATTAAAAATATATCCTGTTTCTAGCACTGCATTTAGTTAAATTGGACTGAAATTTAATACTGAAATATATGATAAAAAAGGCACAAGAATTATTTGAATGCACACAAACATCCACAGACTCACATGTCCTTTTGCATGAAAATGGCATTCCAAACTTGGAGTCCCACTGGGGCTTGTGGGCTCCCTCTTTCTTCTCTCATCTTTTCCAGCTAGCACCTCAGCCCTGCATTGCCCAGTCCGGGGAAGGGATAGCTAAGGACTGTTATTGTCAGAGCCTCGATTATCCTCTAGAATTATTCCATCACCTGGAAGCAGCGTCGAGAATGCCAAAACCGGTAGCCTCGTTTTCGCAGAGAGAATCCAGGAAAATTTAAGACTTGGGAGAAGGGAGGAGTTGAATACCTCGCCAAGTACTTTCAGACATGCAAATCATTTAATTGTCACCATAGTCTTATGAGGTGGGAATTAATATCTTCATTTTGTAGATGGGGATATGAAAACTTCCAGAGAGAAAACCATTTGTCCAAGGTCCAACAGCTAATGTTTCTGGAGCTCATATCTGAATGCAGCGGGTCGGCTCTGATTTTGAGCCCAGATCCCAGTTCTGACCCTCTGCCAACAATTGCAACACCCTGGGTATTACACTAGGTGTCACTGGGTGCCCCTGCCCCATTGGTAACACAAGGCTCTTAATAGTACCTCTGCCTCTACTTCCTAGCTGTCAGTTGGCAAATGGCTAGAAATGGAGTTTGAAATCAAAATCAGGGCTGGTCAGAACGGAGGGAACCACAGTGTTAGGGAGATGTGGGCTGAGCCGGGGTGGGAACATGGCTTCTGATTAACTGGGAGTTGTACAGGAAAACTCACAGTGGGTCGGGTCCGAGATCCAGATTTTGAAGCATCCCTAGTTGGTGGATGCATTATACATCCTTTCTCTAGCTTAAGAGGAAGTCCAGTCAAGCAAAAAAAATTGAACCTTTCATTGATGATTCAGGGTTTTGCAAGGCACTGAAATTCGTGTTTCGACGCATCCATTATCCTGTTATAGGCTGTGGCTAATGGTATAAGGGAGCCAGGAATTTGGACTGACCATGAGCTCACAGCCTAGTGCATGCATTTTTTTTTTTAAATGAACCAGACCTATGAGATGCTATCCCCCCATCTCGAAGGTAGAATACAGCAAATAAGGAACTCAGAGACCCTTCCACCACCCAGCCCTGCTGCCTTTGCCTTAAATAGCCCTTCTCTACTTTCTCCTGGCCACTCACTTGGCCCAGCTCCGATGTCACCTCCTCTGGGAAACTTTTCCCTGACCCTCTATACTGAGCTAGAATTGCCCCGTCCCCACCCCCCACAGCATCCCCAATCATAGGATTTTTGTGTGTTGTGTTGGATCGACCCACTTGCTTGTCGTCTGCATTGAACTGAGAGCTGCTTGAGAGCGGGAGCTGTGTTGTTCTGGAGAATTCTCAGTCCCCAGTAGGCTGCGGGGCCCATGGTGGTCACCCTGAGCGTTTACTGAGTAGATGAGTGAAAGCGTACGCTCAGGTTAACCAAGATATGTTCTGTGTGGCTTTCCTATGAACACACGAACAACACTAAGTAGGCAAGGTCAGCCTCATAGGATTTTAATGGTAAGAATGTGCTCAGAAGTCTTAAGGTGAACCGTGGGGCAGGGGGAGAGGTGGGAGCCCCTGCTTTGAGCTCAGTGGAGCTTTGAGCCCTCTGCTTCTTTAGCCTTATGGTCGAAGAGGCTTCTGATGTTGCAGAAAATGGGCTGGACTTGGAATTCACATCTGAACTCTGCCTTAAGTCTATAACTTTACACGAGCCAAGTTGGGGATGATAACACTGCCTTGTCACAGAGTGATTTTTTGACTTCAAGAAAATAGTGTATGTGAATGAAATTAGCCCAGCATTAGGCACTCAGTATTCCTTAGTTGATTCTGAATAGGGGTCTCCTTGAGAGTCATACGTGCCAGCCAGTGTGTCACCCCGGCACTGTCTGGGGACTCTTCTTCCCACCCTGTGAGTGGTGAGACGCCGGCTTCATTTTGGTATCGTTGCTGCACGAGTATCTCGCTGCCCTTGACCACCTCTCCACGGCCAGCTGAGTATGAACAGTCACCTACCTGTTGACAGACCAAAGGGAAATGATCACAAGAAATATCTCTGTTTGGAGGTGGACTGGCTCAGGGACATCTGGAAGGTAAGACAGAGGAGAGACACGAGGCCCCCGCAGCTGCTCTGGAATGTGAAGGACTCGGCTGGTGGATCTAGCATGTTGACTAAAGCATCTTCAGTCCCCAAGGTGCAGGAGAGACACTGGACTCCCACTCAGACCTCTCGGATAGGCAGAGACTTGGCAGCTTTGGGGAGAGAGAAATTTGGTTTCCTAAACTTGCTTTGCATCTTACAGATGTATGGTCTTGGCAAGATGATGTATTTCTGAGCTTTAGTTTCTTCCTTCCTTTCTTCCTCCCTTCCTTCCTTTTCTCTCTCTCCTTTTCTCTCTCTCTCTCTACCTTCCTCCTTCCCTCCCTCCCTCCCTTCTTTCCTTTTTCCTTCCTTTCTTCCTCCCTCTCTTCCTCTCTCTCTACCTCTCTCTCTTCCTCTCTCTTTCTCCTTTTCTTCCTTCCTTCCTTCCTCTCTCCCTCCCTCCTCCCTTTCTTTCTTTCTTTCTTTTTTCTTTTTCTTTATTTCTTTCAAGGTAAAGTACTCAAAATGGTGCCTAGCACATAGAAAATATTCAGGTAATGTTTGTCGTTGCTGTCATTATACGTATTAATTTATTTAAACTCTTGACAACCCTGTGACTCAGTGACAGCCCTACTGTGATCCCCCTTTTGTGATGAAAAAAGGTTTTCTTCATCTGAAAAAAGCTTATCAATATAGGCTTTTGTGAAGCCAAGAGTACCTGGTATAGAAGAAATGCTCAATAATAGTTATTCATGTTATTAATGTTACTCAGTCGATCGATGTTTCTCGACTGTCCTCTCTATGCCAGGCACTCTTCGTTAAGGATCCAGCAGTAAGCAAAACAAAACAGAACAAAATATTATAACCTCTGCCCTGATAGAACATGTGCTCTAACAACATCACTAACACCAGCAGAAATCTCAGAGTGTG